TCGGGTGGCTCACTTCTGCAATATTTCTGTCATGAACAACATTAGCAATCTGGGACTTGATGTCTCACAAAATGAAAAGTCTAAGGATGAAGCGATCTGTGGAAAATTGTCACTTTCTACCTCCCTTTCTTCAAAACCAATATGTTGAATGAGTGTTTAGATCCCAGATGTGCAATGAGGTCACAGTTAGATGGGCAAAGAGCCAGACCTTAACCAGTAGGCATGCATGTGTAATGTGTTAGCGAAGTTGGGATTCATTCATTCGCTTGAGATGGTCTCATTTCCCTTCCCTCCCTCCCTGTAGACTGACTCCAAGACTGCAAGTGATGTAATCCATTAACTTAGCTTGCAGGAACCACTGCTCTGTGGCACACGGTGAGGAGGCAGATCTGGACGATTCCTGATGGAGCTTAAAATATACTTTATACAACGCAAGCCCAAATTGTGAATGACTCATCTCATTATTTTGATTGGTTTAGGACTTTGCCTGCAACACAAATCTGTATGTCAGCCTCAAGAAGTCTTGATTCACATTTAAAGTTCATGATCATCTATAAATCAGCGTGACCTTTTAGAGGGAGTCTTCATTGCTTTGTTTTAGCGAAAGGTATATTGATGTTTCTGTCTATTTCCAAGTTGAAATAACAACAACAATCAGACAGCTTCAGACAGTCTATGTTATTTTGTTCTAATTCATCTGTCTCTTGGTAATATTGTGCATACTAATTGGTCCAGTGACTGTTTTAGGCTTGTAAATCACCCAAGAAGTTTTTGCAAAATTGTCATTTTTCCTATTTAACCTATGTTACTGTCACGATCCGTTCCCTGTCTGGACTACAACTCCCATAAACCCCTTACCTGGAACTGATTATTGGTCTCACCTGTTTTCCAATCAGGAGGACTATATAAGATGCACTCACACACACTCACTTTGCTGATTATTGTTAGCCTGTAGCGTTCCCTAGTTCCTGTGACTTTCCATGTTTCCTTGTCTTGCCTTGTCTCTTGACCTTGGACTGTTTACCTCGTTTCTGATTGTTTGCTGCCTGCCCTGACCTTCGTCTGTTTTGTCTCGCCCTGGATTATGATTGTTTGCTGGTGTTTGACCCTGCCTGTCTGACTACGATTCTAATAAAAGCCTGCACTTGGATCCACTACTGCGTTGTCACGCTCCCAATGTTACAGCTACAGTATGTTAATATTTTGCATACTGTTGGGCCTATGCATTTTGAGATAATAGTTTATTACAATGTTTGATTTATGGTCTTATACAGTGGGTACGGAAAGTATTCAGACCCCCTTAAATTTTTCACTCTACTAAACAATTTTACTATTACTATTTTGGGTCGTCACTTGATGTTAACTGGTCATGAAGCAAAACCAACTGAAAACCACTGCCCTAGAAACACATATACATGGCCTATATGCTTACATATCAAAACCTTATAATTCTCACCTTGCAATTCTGCACAATTCCATTTTGCTATACCATAGCTATTTGAGTGCATGAATTACAGAAATGTAATTAAAAATAATACAAAAACTTAGATGCCATTTTTTGTCTAAAAACCAAAAGGTCAGAATCTGAATATAAAAACTCTCTGTATGAGGTTCTGAGGACCAAAGAGAGCACATCAAGAATTTTTTTTTAATAGAAAGTTAATTTGCAGAATGACAGAGAAGTCTTTCTTTGAAAAAGGAACAAAGGAGACTGAGTGGGGGCACAGGACTCCCAAGGGGGAGGCATAAAGTCAGCTTCACATGTTAGATTACTTCAAAGCGTGAGATAGTGAAATGGAAAAGTGCTGTTTCCCTCTAGAGTATTTTGTGCTTAGCAGTGGAAAAAAAACAAGTTACTTTTTGAAGTTTGTTAGTATAAATGATTATTAATATATATTATTTACTGGTGCTGCTAAAATCACACCATGCTAAAAACAAGCCTTCAACAAAAACAAAAATGTATACAAGCTAAAATCTTTCTTTCTTTTTTATTTATTTATGACATATTGATAACATTCAGTGTTCAAACATATGTGGAATAATGTTTGTGCATTAAGACTTAGCCATTATATAAATAAATAAACATTTACTGTAAAAAAGATTGTATTAAAATGGGGAAAAAGCAAAACAGAAGCATTTTGTCTAGTGGTCTTTTGGATCTCCTTGATGTTAAGCCTACTCACTTTTTCCATTCTAGCTGTCCGGTCAAAGGGTTTGAACCCACCCACAATGTTACCATTTCTTCTCTTTGTCTGATGTGATAAATGTCACATCCAAAAACTATCAGAGGTTTCATTGCAGTTGAAGCCACACACACACAAACACAAACAATGTATATTTTTGGAGTTTGTAGCCCAGGTGTGATATGTCAAGCTTTCTATTGCTGACTGGAACTTCACACTGTTTTTGTGGCTTTTGATCGTTATGACTGTTAAATGGAGAACAGGAAATGGTGAGAACTGAAACTGTGACATTTTAACAAGTGTCAGCTCAGTTTTAACTGACAGTAGAACTCATGTAACCTTAGGCTATGCAAATCTGCAATAGTTTTTTCACCTTACATTGTTAAATGAAATAAGTGCCATCATTGTTCCAGAGAACAAACTGAACATACAGGCTAGGCATTTCTCTCAGAGAAATGTGAAGGGTCTTAAACTGACAGAATTTGAAGAAAATGTTTTTGTCAGTTATCTGTAGGCTAGGTCACTAGCTAGGCCTATCGTGTAGCTCTCGTATCAGATTCAGTCAGTTATGCTCAGACTGTCATCGACACCTGGTAGTATAGAGGATCCATATGTTTGTAATATTTATGTTTTTGTTTACAAGCTGTTGTGACGATGGTTACATCAAACTGTGTATTGTGATAGACCTACATATTCTGTCTGCTGGCAAAGAGAAACCAGCAACAACTCAAGACAGTCACAACAGCTGCAGTTTCCATGTTTAGATCATTTTGTAATGGCTGAATCATAGAAAGACATTCACAGAGAACAGGGGCGTATTATGAGGAGATTGATGTCTGCCAGCGATTATTGAACTCTTGGCAGGTAGAGTGAGGTGGCGGTGGTTCCCAGGAGACTGTGGCCACCATCTGGACTGGAAAGAGATGCAAACAATCCCCCCTTCACGAAGTCCCCGTGTGCTGTTGTGCTTGCCTTGCACTAATATGTAGAAAAAAATAAGTAAAACTGAAAAATTATAATGTGGTAAATGTATCACCCAGTCTGATTTAGTGGCATAAATATACCCAGCATGTGTAAATGCTTCCTCAGGCTGATGAAAAGGATGAGCTGAGTACTGTCCTCCACAAAAATGACATTAAGTCCATTACATTCTCTTTAGAGTCCATTATGTCCAAAATTGCAGCAGCAATCTGGAGAAAGGTTCGAGGCAAAACATTTTGAAACAGAAATAATCAATACGCTACTGTTCAAAAGTATTACTTTTTTAATGAAATCAATACTTTTATTCAGCAAGAACGTTATTTAAGAATTAAATTGATCACAAATGAAAATAAAGATATTTAATGAAAAAAAAAAATCTAAAAAATGCTGTTCTTCTCAACTTTCGATTCATCATAGAATCCTAAAAAAAGTATCACAGTTCCACAGAAATATTAGTGTTTTCAACTGATAATAATAATAAGAAGAAATGTTTCTTGAGCACCCAATCAGCATATTAAGAGTGATTTCTGGAGGATCATGTGACACTGAAGACTGGAGTAATGGCTGCTGAAATTTTAGTTTTGCCATCAAAGGAATAAATTACATTATAGCTATTTTAAATTGTAATAACATTTCTCAATATTACTGTTTTTACTGTATTTTTGAAAAATGGAGCCTTGGTGAGCACAAAAATATTGAAAAAGCTTACACCCCCCAAACATTTGAACAGTAGTGTAAATGGAATAATTTTGTAATGGTTAAATATCTGTGGAATATTATAAGGAATTGCATGACACAAATGCTATATTCAAGTCAGAGCCAGGCAACGAGGCAAAAAGATTATTTGTGATATTTGCAGTGTTAAAAACCATTACAAAAACATCCCCAAACTTTTATGTATTTACTCTAATTGAGCATTTGCATTGACTGCTTGAGCCGATGATGTCAATGAAAGTGTGTTTAGCACCAAACACCACTCCAGTCTGTTGTGCCTCTCATTAAGAGCATGTAGTGTTCATTAATATGCAAATAAGAAATGAACAACAAACAATAACAACAGTAACCTAGGTAACTGCATAAGAACTACTAAAAGCAAAGATTCGCAAAGACTTAAAATTAAATGGATAATTCGCCCTAAATATGCAGATTCATATAAAAAGTAGCAATAGGCAATATTGGTGCATGAGTAAAATGAATAGCACATTTAAAAAATATCTGATGTCTTTATTCACAAGGGCAGAACAGAAAGTCAGATAGACAAATGAAATATTCATGATTGTTTTTTTTTCATATACACTAGTTAATACACTTGTGCTTAATATTCAGCGAAATTAAATTACAATAAAATCAGTGGGAGCCTCAATATTTTACACAAAGACAATTCAAGTAAAATAAAACAAAACAACAACACTGATACATTTTATCAGGGAGACAACTCTATTGAAAGTCTCAGAAGGTAAACATGACAATATTCACAGCTGAAAGAAAAGGATCAAACATAACCAAAAGACCTGAAATGTCATAATTTTAAAAGTCTATACTGCAGTCTAATTAAAGTGTGCTAAGGTGACAATGCTTTTTCATTCTATGATTGTATTTTAAATGTTAATAACCTGATTGAATTCAAGTATTTAAAGGTGAAGCAAGTGTAAACACTGTGGCTGTCATCTTGTGCTTCAACCAATAGCATGACTCTGGGGTACAGCTTCCTGTTTTTCTGTAAAATGGCCTGACAGATGGGGGTGATAGGAGTGTTTGGGAAATTTCTGCAAATCTGTTTGCTAGTGGCACTGAAATGACACACTTTACCTTTAAGATAAAATAAGTCAATACCGAAACCCCCTAAAAATTGCAATCATTAAAAGGAACAATAAAATACCGGTAAATTACTATGATAACAGAGAAAAAAAATCCACAAAATTCCACAAATCCATTTTAGTCATAAACCAGTTCAAAACAAACACTCATTTTATAATTCACACAGAGTTTGATATCTACGTTGGTCTACTGTAATCCATTAGATTAGGCAAAGTGAACACAGTCTTTAGTGGTCTGCATTATCACCATATAATCATAGCTATACATACAAACCAATTTTCACAATATTGGAATTAAATTATATTATACAAGGGATGCATTTATTAACATATCATTTAGAATTCTTACAATTAGGCTTAAATGTCTTCAAAAAGTCATAAAGCACAAAGTTTTTGAGATACAAAGTTCAAAGACATCCTAAAAATACCTTAAGCCCGCATATGTGAGTCTACCACAAATCTGCAGAAGCCTGGAGATTGATGTCTGCCAGCGATTATTGAACTCTTGGCAGGTAGAGTGAGGTGGCGGTGGTTCCCAGGAGACTGTGGCCACCATCTGGACTGGAAAGAGATGCAAACAATCCCCCCTTCACGAAGTCCCCGTGTGCTGTTGTGCTTGCCTTGCACTAATATGTAGAAAAAAATAAGTAAAACTGAAAAATTATAATGTGGTAAATGTATCACCCAGTCTGATTTAGTGGCATAAATATACCCAGCATGTGTAAATGCTTCCTCAGGCTGATGAAAAGGATGAGCTGAGTACTGTCCTCCACAAAAATGACATTAAGTCCATTACATTCTCTTTAGAGTCCATTATGTCCAAAATTGCAGCAGCAATCTGGAGAAAGGTTCGAGGCAAAACATTTTGAAACAGAAATAATCAATACGCTACTGTTCAAAAGTATTACTTTTTTAATGAAATCAATACTTTTATTCAGCAAGAACGTTATTTAAGAATTAAATTGATCACAAATGAAAATAAAGATATTTAATGAAAAAAAAAAATCTAAAAAATGCTGTTCTTCTCAACTTTCGATTCATCATAGAATCCTAAAAAAAGTATCACAGTTCCACAGAAATATTAGTGTTTTCAACTGATAATAATAATAATAAGAAATGTTTCTTGAGCACCCAATCAGCATATTAAGAGTGATTTCTGGAGGATCATGTGACACTGAAGACTGGAGTAATGGCTGCTGAAATTTTAGTTTTGCCATCAAAGGAATAAATTACATTATAGCTATTTTAAATTGTAATAACATTTCTCAATATTACTGTTTTTACTGTATTTTTGAAAAATGGAGCCTTGGTGAGCACAAAAATATTGAAAAAGCTTACACCCCCCAAACATTTGAACAGTAGTGTAAATGGAATAATTTTGTAATGGTTAAATATCTGTGGAATATTATAAGGAATTGCATGACACAAATGCTATATTCAAGTCAGAGCCAGGCAACGAGGCAAAAAGATTATTTGTGATATTTGCAGTGTTAAAAACCATTACAAAAACATCCCCAAACTTTTATGTATTTACTCTAATTGAGCATTTGCATTGACTGCTTGAGCCGATGATGTCAATGAAAGTGTGTTTAGCACCAAACACCACTCCAGTCTGTTGTGCCTCTCATTAAGAGCATGTAGTGTTCATTAATATGCAAATAAGAAATGAACAACAAACAATAACAACAGTAACCTAGGTAACTGCATAAGAACTACTAAAAGCAAAGATTCGCAAAGACTTAAAATTAAATGGATAATTCGCCCTAAATATGCAGATTCATATAAAAAGTAGCAATAGGCAATATTGGTGCATGAGTAAAATGAATAGCACATTTAAAAAATATCTGATGTCTTTATTCACAAGGGCAGAACAGAAAGTCAGATAGACAAATGAAATATTCATGATTGTTTTTTTTTCATATACACTAGTTAATACACTTGTGCTTAATATTCAGCGAAATTAAATTACAATAAAATCAGTGGGAGCCTCAATATTTTACACAAAGACAATTCAAGTAAAATAAAACAAAACAACAACACTGATACATTTTATCAGGGAGACAACTCTATTGAAAGTCTCAGAAGGTAAACATGACAATATTCACAGCTGAAAGAAAAGGATCAAACATAACCAAAAGACCTGAAATGTCATAATTTTAAAAGTCTATACTGCAGTCTAATTAAAGTGTGCTAAGGTGACAATGCTTTTTCATTCTATGATTGTATTTTAAATGTTAATAACCTGATTGAATTCAAGTATTTAAAGGTGAAGCAAGTGTAAACACTGTGGCTGTCATCTTGTGCTTCAACCAATAGCATGACTCTGGGGTACAGCTTCCTGTTTTTCTGTAAAATGGCCTGACAGATGGGGGTGATAGGAGTGTTTGGGAAATTTCTGCAAATCTGTTTGCTAGTGGCACTGAAATGACACACTTTACCTTTAAGATAAAATAAGTCAATACCGAAACCCCCTAAAAATTGCAATCATTAAAAGGAACAATAAAATACCGGTAAATTACTATGATAACAGAGAAAAAAAATCCACAAAATTCCACAAATCCATTTTAGTCATAAACCAGTTCAAAACAAACACTCATTTTATAATTCACACAGAGTTTGATATCTACGTTGGTCTACTGTAATCCATTAGATTAGGCAAAGTGAACACAGTCTTTAGTGGTCTGCATTATCACCATATAATCATAGCTATACATACAAACCAATTTTCACAATATTGGAATTAAATTATATTATACAAGGGATGCATTTATTAACATATCATTTAGAATTCTTACAATTAGGCTTAAATGTCTTCAAAAAGTCATAAAGCACAAAGTTTTTGAGATACAAAGTTCAAAGACATCCTAAAAATACCTTAAGCCCGCATATGTGAGTCTACCACAAATCTGCAGAAGCCTTGGTTTGTATAAAAATCAATGTGCAACAAATTCTTCATCATAGAGATCCTGTAACAAACTTACAAAAAGAAATACAAAGTCTATGTGCAATGAGAGTCCACCACAGATCAGACGTCATACTGAAGTCCTGGGTTTTCTGATGACTAACTGGACGGCACCCTCAGAGACAGTTTTAATGATGTTCCAGGCATCGTAGTGCATAAGGCCCTGCAAAGACCAGCCGTTGATGGCTAGAAGTTCATCTCCGACATCAATAACCCGGGACTGTTCAGCGGCTCCTCCTGAGTGGTGACAAAAACACACAGTCTGAACAGTACACTCTTCCTGAACCTTTCTGTCTTATCATGCTTGGAGATGAGCCAAGTGTTCTCTTGATACATATATTACAACTTTTGTCTCCTCCTAGTGGACGTCTTTAAATATTTGTGAAGAGCACTCACCACAGAAGATGCGTTTGATGTAGAGAGGTCGATCTCCACGGGCAGATGCTTTGCCTCCGTCTAGACTGAACCCTAAACCAGCCGTAGTCTTCTGTAACTCCACACTCAAAGCCCCGTCTGGTCCCACTTCCACACCTACAACACACCAAGAAGCCAATTAGGAACCGAAAAAGTTATTTACTCTATAAAAACCCAAGCCAATAAGTTGAAGACCGATAACGGGTTAATCTTTGCCACAAGAGTGACAATGACTCCAGATGCTCACTTGTTTTATGTTCTCTGATGCTGTCTCTATGGCCTAGAGTAGGACAGATTCCAGTATGAAGGGGAAGTTCTTGTTTAGGTGATGTTGGCTCAGTGTTCTTGCCCTTCTGGATGATCACTAATGCCTGTTTCGGCAGTCTGGTCTGATGAAGGCAGGACAGCGCCTCTCCGTGTGTGATCCCACTCATGCTGGTCCCGTTTATTGAGAAAATTCTGTCTCCTCTGTGAATGGAGGAGCCTTCCACGCCTGCCACCCCTCGAGTGAACACCCGATGGACCTGCAACAAATTTACATTTCAGTACTAAACTTAATCTTATTTGACTCTGTTCCTTTAAAAAAACACAAGGGGGAGATCATGTATAATTATAAATGTTACTAATAATGGCTACTGGTTTTTCATTTATTGATTTATTTATTATTTTATTTCATTTTATTTAAAAAAGCAAAAGGTTTCAGTTTTGCTTGAACAAAAGAGCTTACAGTCATAAATTTCTGCTCCAGATCTACTCCTCCGGCGATGCTGAAACCCAGTCCAGATCCTTGCTCTTTGGTTAAGATCACAAAGGAAATGCCATCTTTAACCTAAATAATAAGATTCATGCAAGATTTGTTAACTTTGTTTTTTTTTTATCAAATGAAATATAGAAAGCTACAAATAGGGTCCATATAAACAATGGCTGTTCTGTTAGGAAAACAGACTGATAAAGATAACCAAAAAGTGACAGTTGAAACATTGTGAGTTTTATAAATATTAATAAGCCCACACAAAGGCATTCTGTAATTGCTGAAAGCATATCTTCCCCATCCTTTAAAAAGAAACTTCAGAATGCCAGATCATCTTTATACTTAAAATATTAGCTTTCTAAATAGACATTAAAACAATTTATGGACCATGAAAAATACTGAGACATTGATAAATTACCTCTGAAAGAGTGTTTGTTTCCTGTATGAGACTTGTCACATCCACTTTGGTCGTGAGGGAACACAGAACATCTTGCACTTTATTTTGGTCCAAAGGAGAAGATTCAAGGTCTTTCAAACTGTTGAAGAAACACAACACCAATATTAGCTGTAATAGTTTGTCCTAGTCAGGAATGTGTTCAAATGTTTTCAACTAATGGTTGCTGAATATATTGGATGTTGTTTTCATCAGGAACATTTGTGCAGTGTCTCAAAACACAACATTGAAATAAAAAAAATATAATATGTGCTGAGATATGCAACCCTAACGATAACATACAGCACCACTAAAATATTACAACTTAAAACTTTAAGAATTTAAATATAAAAATACTAAAACAAAAAGGCAAACTCAATCAACTAGTTAGTTGTTGGAGGACAAGTAAACTATTGTAATCCATTTACTATCAACTATTTTTTTTCATTGCACAATATAAACAGGTCTTCACTCACCTTATAGACCAGCATGAGAGCCCTGTGATCTGGCCTTCATGTTGGTCCTCACTGCTGGTTGAACCAAGAACCCCAGTGTCAACACTGCTCACCACGGTGCACTGCAGGTTGTGTGATGTTGGGTCTATGGATCTGCGAGGGTGGATTTCCAGCTCCGTCTTAAAGATCACATTTCCAGGGTCACTGGTGAAATCCTCAGTACACAGCTTGTCCAGTTCAGGCATGCTCAGTGCCCGTATCTCTCTCAGTTTGGAGCGTGACAGGCCTCCATGGCTGCGGGCATTGCGGGAGCGTAGTACTGGTGGTGTGTGTACAGCGGGCTGGTTCTGAGAGGCCTCGTTTCTCACCTTCTCCTTCATAACAGCCTCTGTGGTTCGGTTTGGAGGAGTTGATTCAGAGATGGGGACAACTGAAGTGGAAGACGAATTCTGTGGATATGGTGGAAATGGGGTTGAGCTCAAATTGTCTACACATGAGCTGAAACTCCTCCTCAAAGAACGGTTGTCACCGGACTGATTGCTAACAGATCCAGCACACCCAGATAACCTCCGGTTCAGAGGTGGCTTTGAGTTATTAGCATAAAACGGTATGTCTATACACTTTACAACAGATCGATCAAAGCTGCCTAGATTCTCAAAGGACTGGATTCTTTGACGAACTGAGAAGGGGTTTGGTTCAAGAGACCAGCTAGTGTCTGTAGAGCAGCTCCTGCGGTCTAGTCCCCTTAAGAACAATTTGGATTTGCTTGTTTTGAGACTAGAAGCAGCATCTTTATTATTTGAGTTCCTGAGGAGATTTTCTTCCTGGCCATTGCAATCTTCATCTAGTTGTTGTTGCTGAGAACAACTAGATGAAGAATTGGTTGATTCTAATGGGATTGTGTGTCTTCTATGAGAGGAGTCTGAATTTGATTCCTCCCACTCGACTTGATCAACCGACACTGAGGCCAAGTTTAAATGACCTGCATTCACAACTTCTTTGCGTGTCAGCACAGGTGTAGACGAAGAGGATGAAAGTCGTACCTCAATGAAAGTTCTTTGAGTGTTGATGACAGTGACCTCTGATTTTGAGACTTGCTCCATTAGATCCGAGACTTGCTCCTTCTTGGAAGGCTTGAGTTCTTCTTTGGTGGTGTTGATGGAATTTGTTTTTAAAGCACTGGACACAGTTGGTTGACTTTGGTCAGTTTTACAAGAAGTAACCCTGATCTTCTCAGACGTTCTGGTGGATTTAGGGCTACCAGTTGTTGTGGTTCTCTTGGAGAGAAGTTTAGGAGACTGACTTGGGGAGCTGAGAGCTTTTTTCTGTCCTGGACTTTCCACCCTGGGCGATCTAGAGACAGACTTTTCTTGGTCTTTGGATTTACTCTTAATACTAAGACCCTTGAGTTTAGAAGAGGTATTTGACTTTTTATCATCAACTTTGAGTCTACTTCTCAACAGGGGTGAGACAGGGGTGTCATTAGGGGAATTAGTTCCCAAAGATTTGATACAATAAGAGGTGGATTTACTCTGGGCTTGGGAGAGTGATGATTTCAATTCAAGTACAGGAAGAACTTTCTCTCTCTCCTTGTCTTTTGGAGCAACTGTAGAGGAGGCCTGCCCACTAGTTTTGCCACTGGTATAATTTAATGCCTTGGGCTCTGACACAGTCGATCCCAGTGGCACTTGCCCAGTGCTGAGCTTCTCTACTGACAGAGATGCATCTGAGAGCAACTTAGTTGTCCTCTCTTGACTTCTTGGGGTGACGTGACAGTTGCTCTGAGTAACAGTGGGATAAGTGACACCTGTTGGTGTCTGGCAGATTTCAACAGATTTTGAAATAGTTTCACATTTTGTGTCGCAGTTTGATGGTGTTCTCTGAGATGCACAAGTTACCTCATGTTGTGTGGGAGTGTGCCCACTATCCCCATTTAAGAGATCATCACCTGAAACTTGAGGGCAAAGTGGGTCTGGTAACTCAGAGACAGAATGACTGTTCTCTTGCAAATCCTTATCTTGCATTGTGAGTGAAGGCGGGTTGTGGAGATCCATACTAGCAAGTGTCTTGTCAACAGTTTGGCTATTGGCAATGCTTTTTCTATCTGTCAGAGAGCTGCCCTCTGATTTGCTGAATGCAGGCTGACTGACAGAGCTGAAACAGAGCTCAACCTCCTCCTCATCTGAGTCAGTGTCCTGAGGACCCTCACAGCGACCTTGAGACGACCCTACTTTGACAGCACTGTCTGCAGAGTCACTCTCAGAGTCACTATCTTCCACCAGACTGTACATACTTTGTTTCTCTCCATATCCTTTCTCTAGAGGGACAATGTCCTCTCCCAGATTACTAAAGTTCCTTGAATAACTATTTAAAAATGTCTTTCCTACAGGAAAATGGCAAGTGCTGTTCCCCACATCTAGGGCAGAGGAATCCTGAAGGTTAGGTTGTGATTGCGCTGCAGTCCCTCTGTTGTCTACTTTACTACACTCTTCTGTTTTTGCACTTGCATCTGTGGAACCCAAGACACTTTGGTCTTTTTCTTTGCTTTCTGCTGAGTTCAGTTCAGTTATGACATCATCAATATTAGTGACGGGAATGCTGTTGCTGTGGATTGTTAATGCCTGGGTTACATTTGTTTCTGATGAAAGGCTTTCTTGGGCTGTAACTAGAGTTTTATCCACATGATTCCTTTCCTCTGGAGGAGGTCTAGGTGCCTCCAATTTAGATGAGCCCTCACAGCCAGAGGACATAATCAGGCTAGAAAGTCGATCTACAGCTGCAAATATGGACAAAAATACAATATGGATAAAAAAAATCATTTTCAGTTATTACAAATGTTCAGGTCAGTTAATAAACACTTCAAATCAATATTAGGCAGTTAAAACATGGCAAACAGTTAAAGACAATCACTGGATATGAAGACCTTACATCAAGATAAGTTCTACCATATATGTGCACAGTTGAGGCCTGCAAGAAAAACTACAAATTGCTTGTTTTATAAATCAACATTACATTGGAAAACTATTCTGACTATTCCTTTACATTATCCTTCAAATATGCATATCAAATTATACTAAAAAGAAACCCAGAGCAGTACCCTTGCAGTTCATTTTATAGTCTGATATTTCACTGATTATGTTATTCATTATTGTTGTTCAAAGTCAGCACCACAGAGCCAAACTCCGTAGGAAACTTTGGACTACTATGAAATAACTTCTCTGAAAAAGGTGAGTCTCACTCTCACAAAGACAAAGACAATCCACAGAGAAAGGATTTTTTTTATTGTTTCCGATAATGTAATACTTTCATCCTGGAGGCATATAAGACTGCACTCAGTTTTATCTGAAGCCGACACCTCTGAATATTCCATTCACAATTAAACAGACAAATGTAAAACATGCATCATCTCCTTAAATATTTATTGCATTCAAAGGGTATTTTACTTGACATAGCTAAAAAAGGTAGACCTAGTGGTGCATTCAACATAATTGAGTCAAAACACACAGCTGATAAATGCTCATGCTTACATAAATGTATACGAGCATATGCGCTAATCTATATGATGAACAGGATCGATCACATACAGTATAAACATCAGATGACGGCAGGTATAGACATACAAAAACAGACACATGACAAATATATTAACACAATATATAACACTATATTGTTTCTTGAGGCTATTGCTCTGCATGATCAGATTCAAAAGATCTCCGAGTTATGTTTTGACCAAAATTCTATGAATGTTTTAGTCCATCTTTCATTTAAAATTTGAATGTGGCAGTCAGAGCAATAACACCAAATCTAGATTCTAATTGACTAATGGCCTCTAGGAAGCATTAGCGCTGTTACTCTACACATCTACGGTGGCTACGGTAGTAAAGTAATCAATAGTCACCATTGACAAATAGCCAGGAGCCTGCAGTTCCCTTTGAGCTGGTGAAGGGTACTGCCAGAAAGGGGAAGCCTGTAGTACTCTTATCTCTTTAAGGCAGCATGGGAAGAGACAGACTTATCTCTTTATTGCAGTGGCAATTCTACCTGTGCTAACAGTCTCTTGTAAAGGATATATTGTACAAGACCTGTTTATCCTGCTATATTGTTTATACAGTTAGGAAACAGCTTTAAATCTGCTGGAGTACCACAGTCTGAGGGAAGGGAGGAGGGAATGTGGATAATACTTTAACAAGCCATCTAGAGCAATATGACACTATACATAACACAGCATTGACTACTATTCTTGATCATAGCAAATTCATAATGTTGATTATTAGATTGCCAAAATTGTAAATTGGGATCAGTATAGTATAGTCAGTTAGATTAGGGAAAACATCTTGTGAGGTTATAAAATTATATTTTAAGGAACTGTTAATTCAAAAAGGAAATCCTTTATGTGGTTCCGAACCCCTTATTTTCTTTCTTCTAAAGAACAAAAAAGGAAAAATTGTGTAGACAGATTTCCTTTCAATTACAATGAACAGAGACGACAAGGATGTAAAAGCACCACAAAAGCAGTCCATACAACGTGTACTATTAGACGCTACTTCTTTTGTGACAGAAGTCATATTCAACCAGTTTTACGATGCTGTTACAGTGAATTGATCTTCTTTTTTTTTAAGAAACGTCAGTCGCAATTCCTTGTAACTGTATAGAAAATAGTGAGTCTTCAAAATTTCTCCTTGGTGTGTTCCACCGAAGAAAGAAAATCATACGGGTTTGGGACAACATAAGTGTAGGTAAATGATGATAGTTTTCATTTTGGGGTGAACTGTCCCTTTAAAAGGGATCATCCTTCTTTTGGAACATTAAAATGAGCAGACATGCGTGGGGGAAAAACCATCACCAAAGCTATTATGGACTTATCATTGGTTAACTCCAGGAAGCAATAGATACAGGATGCTGACTGCAACTCACCTGAGACTGGCTTCTTAATCTCTAAGGTCAATGTGATTGGCAGGTTGTGCATGAGGTCACAGATCTCCTGATAGGTGGATGTACACACAGGAGTGTCACCAATTGTTACAATCTCATCACCCACGCTCATCTTCCCTGAGGCTTCCTGAAGGAATAGACATGAAAGAAATGGGTGAAATACATTCCTCAGATTTATTCTGGAGATATCTCATCCATGCCTCCAAGCACAACCAGCTGTCCGACACCAAGTGTCATCTCAACAGTGGGGATGGAAATCGTTAAGAATTGAACAATTCTGGTACCTTAACAGTTACATTAATATTTTTTTCAGTCTTTTAGGGAAATAAATACATAAATAAGTGTCTACAATTTACCTTCCAAATGATGAGATCATTTCAAAAATAAATAATTACAAAAGGTCTGTTATAAAAAGAAATATAATGACTCTTCTGTTTAGAGGTGGCATGAATGCAACTCAATAACTGGTCTTAACAATATATCAAACAAGAAATAAACAAACAAAATGTGGTAACATATTTCATTCATTTTTATGAAATACTACTGATAAATGCATGTAAATATTTGGCTACACATTGTCATGTGTACAGCCAACCAGCAATTAGACTGAAGTCTCACAGTTAGTTTTTTTGTGATTTATTTATTTTTGTTAATCAAAGACAGACTCATTAGACTTGTTTGTTTAGGAACTAGACTACACTGGGTACATTATGTTTGTATTTCACCAAAAAAAAAAAAAATGCTCATGACAGTCAATCATTTTGTAATTTTGCTGTTTTGGGCTGTAGATTCAGTAATCTTGTTTTGGCACCAATGAATCAGTAGTGCAAAATATTTTAGTAGGACAGAGTATTTTAGTACGATATTCCGTTAGCATTGGTGGAAGAATAAACATGTGAGAACCATCAACAGAACCGAATGTCTTTTAATTCTGGTCAATTTCTTTTAAAAAGTCTCTCTTTCTTGAATAAAGCCTTAGTTCAATGTTAAAATGCATTACAAATAATCAAAACATTCACAATTTCCAACCTACCCTTTCCGCCACACCTCCTGGTCTCAGCCCTGTGATCAGCACTTTGAGTGGAGTGGACTTAATCTCCAGATCCAAACCAAAAGACTCTGACTCACTACGCTGGAGCACTATTGTCTCAATGGTGCAGACCCCTGCTAACTCACTGGATTCCCCCTTCTTGCAGTGCAGCATCCTGCAGGGCGGCCGCGTGCTGTTTTGTGTAACCTGGGCAGGGTTTGCTGGGAGTAAAGTTGGTTCTTCACCCTTGGCCCTTTGTGGAGGGTTGGGGCACTTGATGCTCATCATGCTCTTGACACGAGTCACGGCTTTGTGCTCCAGCTTGGGTGAGCGTTTGACCTCCTGCCCTTCGCGATGGGGCTCTTTTTTGACGCCCAGGTTTGTTCCTCCAGCTGCCTCCATACAGCGAATGGGCATGAAGGGAGATTCGGCACCAGGCGGGCCACTAGGTCCTTCCTCAGATTCGAGCGAGCTGCCGTAGAGCGGAGTGGCCGGCTCGCTGTCAATCTGCCTGTGGCTCTCACTGCTATCCTGGCTTTCATCATCTACCTCGAGAGATGACGTGGCTATTACAATACCAGAGTCTTCCTCTTGGTGCTGGTCGCCCTCGCGGAGAAGGCGACGGAAGGGGCCACTGTCTTCTTCAAGGCCGGTCTCGTCGTCACTAGGCTCATCCTCATAGCAGATGACCCGACGCTGACGAAGAAGTGGGCTACGTACAGAACTCGGGCTGCTTCCCACGCTGGCCTGTTGGGGCATGTCTGCAGTGTGACCAGCCCCTCCAGAGGCTTTACAACATTCTGGGGTTGTGGGACTACTGTCTGAACCTCTATAGGAGCCATCCCGATAGACTGTTATGATAAATGGACAGAAAATCACACTCTAGTGACAAACTGTCACTATTTTTTTTTTTTATCAACATGACACTTTAGATTCAGTAATGTTACCATGCGGCTGAGGTGCTGCTGATTCCTCCATAGACGTATTACAGCTCCTGCTACTGTGCAGCATGTCGTCATCACTGGATCCCATCGCCATGGTCTCAGAGAGGGAAGACTGGCTGGGTACTTCGTGAACTGAGAAATACTGAGAGAGCTCTGCCTCTGAACTCAACGAGCCTTGCTGCAGGGTCAGATTAAGACACAAAATTCAAATCTGAAGATCAACACTAAGTAGTGTGCATACAATGGCCTCCAAAAGTACTGGGATTAACCCTAACCCTAACCAAAACCAAGTGGCTTCTGCAAACAAATCATGCTAGATTTTTCAGAACTAACTCCTTTTGAGACCTCGATTTTTCCTTTTCAATTTTCTGGGCCGTTTTTAATTATTTTGACCAACTAAAGGTTATTTTTAGTTAGGGCTGTGCAAAAAATCGAATGCGATTTTCATGAGCATCTCGTCAGTAAAGCCGCTCCTGTGATTAGTAGTAAATCTCCAGCACGTGTTTTCAGATGGAGCGGCATTTACTACACAAGCTACACAAAACCGCGTTCATAATTGGCAATGAATCGCCTGCGATTTTGAACGCGATTTTGCGTAGCTTGTCAGTGAACTACAGCTCTGTGTAGTAAATGCCGCTCCATCTGAAAACACGTGCTGAAGATTTACTACTAATCACAGAACCGGCTTTACTGACGAGATGCGCATGAAAATCGCATTTGATTTTTTGCACAGCCCTATTTTTAGTGTATGTATTAAGTCAGTGGTCTTAAATTTGAACAATATATCTTGCTTTATCATTTGAAATTTAGCAAAAAATTTGTTTCTGTAGACTGTTTGCTTGAAAAGTGGTTTTGCTATATGTCTTTAAAATAAATACCACTTAGTTTGGTATTTTGTTATTTAATGCAAAGACATTCATTTTCATCACATTTTCAGTGACTTAAGTGTCTGAATACTTGTTTCATTGTACCTAAAATTCAAAATTCAATTCAAATGAAGGAAAGTTTTATGGATTTGATAAATTCCAAGTCTATTTTCTCAGACAAGTTGAGTCGTCTGTAGACTAAAGCTTCAAGTTTACCCTGCTGGCTGGCTCTAGGAATCGCTTCATGGTCCAGCTGAGAGCAGGATTACCCTCACCCTGCTTGGCTTTAACAGTGGGAGATGGACTCTTGGATGGCAGGCCTGTGAAAGAGAGGAGAAAAATAATATGACAGACAAAAAATGTATGCTGTATTTCTTGCTGAGGCACAAATCACTGATTTCAGAGACTACTGCATCCGAATTTCAAAACAATATTTGGAAACTTAATACATCAAAGTCAAAACAGAGCTTTTCAGAATGTAACTAATATTTGTTTTTGTTTTGCTTATATTGTTTTTAAACTATACCCTGTGGAGAAGCATGATAACAAGTGGCCACAGTCAGACCAGAACAAAACAGGCACTTTACCGAGTGTATGGGAAGAATGACTATCTCTGTGAGTGGAGCGAATGATCACTTCATCCATCTCCTGTTCAGACACCTTTGAGTGAGAGATGATGTTACAAAACACAAGCCTAAGTCTTGATTAAATATCAAGTATCACATCTTGATCCAGTGTTTACTTTAAAATTAGGCAAATGACAAAATATTATTTCTGACCACCAGGCGGCACTGTCATTTAAGCAGAACAAGCTGCCTAGAAGCTGCTTCATAATTCTGCATTATTAAACTTTAAATGTAACCTCATATAACCATTTTTATGCCCATGCCAGCCTTACTATCAATGGAGATGTCTTTTTATTCAAATAATAATAAAATACCAATAATAAAAACACAAACAATCATAATTTCAGACATCAAATTCAAACATTCAATGACAAAAACATGAGAAATGTGTGATTCTGTTTCTGGAATTTCACATTAAAGAACACTGATTACATTTAAACAATGAGAACCATTTAGCCAAGTTGTTTTGATAGCACACTTTGAAGTGCTCTGCTACAGGCAGATCCCTAGTTGTCTTTATACAACTCTGCTAGAAATGGCCTGACTGACTCGAGATGAGATCAGGTTTTGCTAGATCTATTTCAGTTGACTTTTATTGTTGACTTCAATACAGATCTTTCTCAAATCAACAGAATCAATCAAACTTAACGTAATAAAAGAAACGCTTAACATCTCTTGAGTGCAAAAAAAAAAAACACTTCACGTCATATGCACCTGCACGGCAAAAACAAGCTTAAAAGCACTGCTGTCTTTAACAGCAAATCCACCCAAGGAACACTTTTCCAGCTCCTCTGTATCTGAGCCATGGGCCATATATGTGTTTACGCCAAGACAAAAAGATGGACTTTGAAGTCTATAGAAAAAAAAAAAAAA